TGCATATAGGCAAAAACGCATAAAAACGCATCTTCGCACGGGCAGCCCGTGCGTTGGCCAATTATTTACAATTTGCATATAGGCAAAAACGCATAAAAACGGTTTAAAATAAAGACTAAGATATCGGTGTTAGCTGGAGTATGTATCGATAAATAACTCGTGGTGCAGTTTCATACCTTAGCTGTAAACAGACAGAACCATAAGCGTGTGGACAGAAGCGAGCAATAGAGCGTCTTATTTGCCATGTACAAGATATGCATGTAACTAAATTCGCAAGATCAGATTAAGATCTGAACGGTAGAGGAAGGACAGAAAGTTCATGGAAGGGAAGGGGGAGATGATGACGTGTTGGAATAAGGAGAATGTAAGCGAGACGTCTTCAGTAGAAAGTGGACTTGCATGCAGAATAAAAAGTCATACAACAAATTTACAGCTTAAGCGTTAATTTGTACTAACCGGCATAGCGCAGTGGGAATTGTTCTCCAGCATGAGGATTCAACTCCGCCACTGGGTAATATGTGCTTTTTCAAGCACAATCCTAACTTTCAGCACTTTGGTGAATTTGGTTGAGGAGTTGCGTCAAATTTCACGTGGCCGCACGTAAGACATAGGAGGAGCGGAAAAGTTATTTTCACATGCACCTGCCCCAAAAACAGCTGTTAGCCTCATATTAATCACCAGTTTTCTTAGCAATCCAAATCTGGTTTTGGCACAATGCTGAAAAATTTAAACTTCAACGTGTTCGTAGGTGGAATTTTAAGGATGCGTGAAGGTCTGAACTTAGATTCTTTGAGTCACATATGGACAAGGAAAATCGCAAAGTTCCAGCCTCCTTGCTCATCTAGCTCCCGAAATCGCCTTTCCGCCAATAGATCTTTCACGTGCCCGTACATAAAAACCAGGGAGAGGTGAATGTCCATTTTACGCCCAGGAACTCGTACGCAGTTGCCAGTTAAGTTGTCGAAGTTCCAGCTCTATAGCTTTCGTAGGCTGGACGGACGTTGCGCGCATACACATGCATATACATGCACAATCCCTCGACAGTATGCGTTTTTGCATTGCACAAATGCATAAAACGCATTGGGAGTTGAACAAATTCTGGCTTCTGGGTGTTCATTGGCCTTTGAAGGAGCAGCGTAAGAAAAATATTTTACCGCCTTTAAACTCATCGCACAAAATCACTTATCATTTTTTAACAAAATAATCACAAACCATGAATCAATTCCCTTTGTATCGGCACTATCATCAATCGGGTATCGTTCACGTAAGGGTTGCTGGATGCCTTGCAGACCATCTTTGGTGATTGTAGGAACCGCACTTCCGATATAAAGCACTCGACATCTGCAGAATGGTACTGCCACCATGGCAAGGCAAAAGCCTACAAAATATAAGCCATGCAAATATCGTATATCGCAAATTTGATTCGCACTTTGACGCGTCTTCCTACCTTCCTATCTTCGCTCGCTACCTTAACTCGTGGAGGACCCACGAAAAAGCGGAAAAGAAAAAGCAAGAACTGTGTAAGGCAGATCATAGTAGAAGTGATCCTGGGGCACAGGAACTGATGATGCAATAAAATCTATCACGTTGCGTCCGGATTTGAATAGAAAGAGTTCGGTCCCCTCCCACTCCATAACCACCTGCAAAAAAAGATTCCATCCTTCCAACCTCCCCGTAAAAATCCATGCTTAGTGAACAAACGAATCAATTAAAATGCATTAAGTGCAAATTAGGAAAACAAATGAATGAAGAGGGTAATAATAAGTTGAGGATAAATTGCAGTATGCAGGGAGAGTAGAAAATGTACGGAAGGTTTCCGTGAAACGGACTTAAACATGTGATGAAATTCCGAGCAGCAAAACAGGTTCTCGGCCGGGTACAGTTGCAATGATCACAGTGGAACAGCAACATTCTCACCCCGAGACTTGTGTACTACAGAAATGTCAAGCGAATGCACCTACGCGCTAACAGAACCGTTGCAAGCCATCGCATCCTGAACGTAAGATGGTGATGGAAGAGCTTAGGACAAGAGGTCGGTGAATCGCTGAGAATTAAGCTAAAGCAGCTGTGAAAGAGTGAAGAGGGAACTGCGTACTCGCTTAACCCATCTGAAAAAGAATGGGTTATTGCTAAGGAGAAGAAGAAAAGGAAGCGCAATTTCTTTTCGATCTTAGGAAGTGATATCAGGAGTGAAAGTTTTGATGAGGGGGCGAAGGAGGAACAAAGCAAAAAGGCTCGGCAGAAAAAATACTTTCCCATTAGCATTTCCCAGAATCCATACAGATCCACTGATAATCCAGGTAGAACTGTCATTAGTCTAGATTATTTCGTCATAGAAAACAGTAGTGCAAATTAATGACAAAATCAGCCTGACCAGACTGTCTTAAGGAAGCAGCGGATCTTTGCTATACCAAGCAGTGCACTAGAGAAAATTTCGATAGAAAGTTAGAAAGTGAAAATTATGATGCTAGGATTTTGTGAGACATTAGAACCCTGAAGGCATTATGATACCAGAACTACTGTAACGGAGTAAATAAATGCCAGCGCGCGCTGGGTAATCTGTTGCGATCGTGCGTTTTACGCAGTCCCGCCAGAGGGTGTTTGCCTGTCAAGAATTTTCATTGTTTTACACTTTGGTGTGTGCAAAAATCAATGTGTTGGTTCCTAAGCAGCGAAGTTTCCCATCAAAAATTTCACGCGCCAGAACAAGCGTAAAAGAAAGCTGAATTTGAAATCTTTGGTTCGCACATGAGCGGGGAACATCCTCTCAAAATTTTAGCTTCCTAATTTTTCGACTTCCGGGCTAATGACTTCCACACCGAAACCTTAATATGATCCTACATGAAACCTAAGCATACGTTGAATCTAAGTTCAAGTTTTTGAGGTCCTCATAAGTAGGGAACATCCTCCTAAATTCTAGCTTTCTAGCTTTTCTGGTCAAGTTAGCAAGATTTTCCTTCTAAGACTTCCACATAACCGTATGGGACCTAGGCGTACATAAGAGCTGAATTATAATAAACGTGAGTGCATAAAATCCCTTGGAAAGTGAATACGTAAAGGATTCTGATTTTTGAAAAATATTCCAATCTTTAATATGTTCAGTTTATTTCACTATTACCTAGCGATAGCGCTGATTAAACTGCTTTGGACTAACAAATCATTTATCACCTAATAATAAATAAATTTTGCACGGACTGCATGAAAATAGTAGTAACAATAACGTCATTTCCAACACGTAACAGACATATCATTAATAACTGTAACGGCAGTTCGGAAAAATAATAAGTTTATCGTAATAAACATGTCGAATGATTATGTGAATATTTATGTGTGAGAGGTAGGGAAGGAACGAGGAAGGAAGGGAGAGAGTGAGAAAGAACCATAATTTGATGTGTATTAATTCACAGAAGTGTAGTAATTCCTGATGAAATGTAGAACGAGCGAACGGTGACGGGATTGATGAGACGCTGGGAGGAACGGGCACGGCCTGATGTCGTCTTATCTAGGTCAAGAACGTACCAATCGTAGCACAGTTTTCTCGAAAATCGGTTATTTGTGTACCATCAGCAGTAATAATAGTAGTAATATAACTGCATTTTACACCACAATTAATAAAGCAATCTAAATTTTGCATTTTTTTTTCTGCACTCCCACCCCTTGCCCCCTTTTATTGCCCGGCGGTCAGCCTCCTGATTTTAATGACCCAGTATTGTCGCACAAAACGCTACTTGTATCATATGCCTTTCGGTACTTGTGTGGTCTTTCACAACTTGTCTACAGGCGACCCTTATATGCTATCCAATTGAAGTTATCTGTAGGAAAGACGATCAGCTATTTCTGTAGGATAAGAGAGGAAGACATATATCAGATACTAGGGCTGCAAGGATGAAACTTGAGTGCAATTTTAAAAAAAAAACCTACGCAGTATAAATGCAGCTAAGTGTTATTTTATCTGTATTTACGGCTAAGAAGTGAAAGACAGACCGGACCACGTTTTTACAAGTGATATGTTTATTCATCAAACAAGACATGTTCGTTGATACACGAAGTACTCAGACCCGATATCTTTATATTAAAAAAGGTGTTATAATACATATAAAAATATAAGAAATCATATTAAGAAATTGAATGATCAGGAATTTTCGCTTCATTAAGTCGGAGAGACACTCCTACATTCAGCATCACAACTGGTCCTTGTCAGTACGAGGGTTGTGGTGTTGACAGAATAAATAAATAAAATGGGATAAATTTGTACAACTAAAAGGGTTGTAATTTAAAGAAGGATCTACTCTATAACCTTCTGCAAACAGTCCAGAAAAAAAAAAAACAGAAATAACAATGTTGCTGGAAAAGTTGACAGAAGATTTGATTGAAAAAGGAGGAGCATTTACAAGGGTGATCGGCATGCCGTTGACAGATTATGAGGATAGATGGATTGGCGGTGAACACGAATCATCCGTAAATGGCCTCCAAATCGCTTCTTCTGCTTAACATTCTCACGCAATCAACTGAAAGCTGACATAGTGGTGCAGAGAAGAGGATGGGGAGGAGAGGGTAGTGGGAGTGAAGAATGTTGAACAAGTCCTTTTATCAAAATAGAATCTTTTTTCTAAAAGAGGACTTGTCGACAGCTCGGATGATAGCTCTGCCCCTCGCTTCCACGAACTTCATAAGCAATACTCGCTCACTGGCGATATTTTCCTTCTAGGAATGCTGTGTGGGATATATCCACCTAGAACATGACTAGTACAATGCAGTTCACTAGCGGCGGAACTCCATCTTCCAGTCGTAACCACAGCTGCGATCGCGCAACAATGTTTGGCACTTCGGTTCCGGGCTGCATACTCCCGATTAGTGTCTATCGCTCGTTCGTTGAATACTCGCCATCTCTTCGAGAACCAGTCGCGTGGCGTTTACTTTCTTGTGGATACCAGACGCATCGTCCACCAGTTGTCAGGAGAGGTAGCAGGGTGCTCTGCCCATCGGATTTTACTTTCTCGCGTAGTCTCAGTGACATCCTACACGCCGCTCATCTGACGGAAAATCTGCATTTGCATCAGTGTAAAAAACACATAAAAGTGAATAGTTTTTGTTAAACAATTAAGTACAGAAAGGCCACATATTCCATTTACTCTTGCCTTCTTTTAGCAACAAAAAAAAAAAAAAAAAAATGGCCAAC